GAATCAGGCTAGAGTAAATTAGGATGTCAACTCTGGTGACATTTCAACGTTGTCACACTAGATTAAAGGTGTATTGACTTAAGTTTTGAAACCAAGTTACCATGACCCATAGTGAACACTTCTAATAGTTCAACACCAGTGATTCAACAAATAATTACCACATGATGAGATTCCTTTAGCACTTTCCTCAATCCACATTTTTCCTAAAAAAAAAGTCATTGCTAATTATAGGATTTTGCATTTAGATAAAACAAAAAGAGTTATTGCAGAGGGGGGAAATACAACCAAATTGAAAAGTGTTATTTCACTGACCTTCCATGTTGGGAAGTTTCTGGTCTGTTGCATTTCTGATGCTTAAAAGTGTGTTAAGTCACACCTGAAACCATACTGTGACGCACAACTGGGTCATTTAAAAATATTTTACAAGCCAGGAATTATCCAGACAAAAGATACACAAAAGAGAAGCAAAACATTGTGTCACACATGAGTCAGCCAGCACATGTAATGTATGCATTATAAAAACCAACAAAACTCTGCTTTTGAATAGGCTGATAGTTTTAAATTTTTAACACAGGATCTTTGTTCAGTATAGAAGAACCATGGCAATAAAAGTGTGTGTGGGTGTTTTTTTGTGTGTGTGAGTAAGAGTCCATATCTCAGTGCGTGAAGAAATAAATAACTCCCACGCTCCCTTAATTTAAAAAAAATAATCCAACAGGACAAAATGTTTAGTTCAGTTCATTTCATATTTCAAAAAACAAAATAAGTTCATTTCAACCACCTGCTTATAAAACAACATGCACACATTAGTCAGTCAGTTAGTCAGCATCAGGTGATCCAGCAGAAATAACCAGCTCTCTGGGAATGTGTCCACTCCAGGGGTTTCTCAATCCTTAGTGGCTTCTGTTTTTTAAAATTTAAGTTGACCGGGGGGTTAAACTGCCTCGACTTCAGTGCACACCGCAGTTTGTTGGACTATTTGACCAGTGATGGACTGGATCTTCTGCGACTGCTGGCGGCACACTGTTTAAACTGCATGACGTCATATTTAATAGACCCAGTGATTGGCAACAGCGGGCACCGAACCAATTGACCTCTTTTTCTCAAGCTGAGGTAGTGAGTCCATGAAATCTCGAGGATGCGGGAAGGCAGAGAATGTTTTTTTGTGTCCCATCTTGCAACACGGGTGAGTTTTTAACCAGAATCTATCCTTTTCAGAAAATATTTTCTCCCTCCTGCATTGGACACAATTGTGCTTCTGTTGCGAACTGCTGCCTGATATGTAGGCCTTTTTATGGTAGGGTGGCTCTAGTGCTGGGCTGAGTTGTTGAATCTGTTTCCTAGATACTCAGCAGAGAGGCTCTGCCCAGTGAGCAGCAACAGCAGGTAATGAACCAATTGAAAACAACACAAGTGGGTGGATATATGGATGCTTATTATGTAGCTTATAGATGGGTCGTCACAACACGCAAAATGTCTGAATGTACTGACTACCCTTTTACACACTAGTCAGCTACTACTACTACTACAATAAGGCGAGACCTCTGCAAGTCAGCAAACACAAGATATATAGTGTTGTTATTATATGTTTAGATCGGTTTAATATGCAAAGCAAGTGTAAGATCAATTAAATATAATAGAAGGCATTTACAGCCACTTCACTTTTGTCTGGTAGTTTGCTCATCATGCTCTTGACACATCTTTCCATCAGCCAGCTAGATTTAAAAAAAAAAAAAAAATAATTAACTCTGTAGACATCCCCAATGTAAATGTGCGCCAGATAGCCTACAAGGGTTTTTCAGTACTGATTACTTTCAAAGAGTAAGACCAACCGTGCAAATAATGAGCCTATTCTTTACCATCAAGTGAAGCTACGATAAATTACTTATCTCTCATTAGTGCAAAGTGAACTAAATTATACAAAATTACAGTAGAAGTTTAAGTGGGATTTGTAAATTAATTCAAACCAGGTCCTAATCAGCGCGTGTGCAAGACTGGACTTTGTTCCCTAATGAGATGAAACTCAAAACATCCCTGGACTTGGAATTAGCGGATATCCACATCAAAAGCTCCCTGCTGTGCATTCATTCATACAGTAAGTTCACTCTTCTTTCCTAATAGCAGTGGGAACTGGGAATTAGAAAGAAAACACAGGGAACTCTTTTTAGCTAAGGCTTTTTTTTTGCCCAGTGCTTCCTGGAATCGGTGTGAATACATGATAAGTAAATATTTCTCAAATCTCTTTTTGGAACAATGCATTTTGGCTTTTTTCATGACATCAGGATAAATCGATCACCAGTCTGTCTACATCAAAATCACTTTTTTTGTTTTGAAAAGGAAGAAATCTCATTGTAGCAATCACGAGGAAAAGAAGTATTTTTCCACAATGAACGCAATGTCCTTTCGTAATTTCTGTACTAGTCACATCTTGTTCTTTGTAATGTTTTGAGTGTGTGTGTGTGTACGTGCGTATGTGATATTAGTAACTTGAACCAAAAGGCACAGAGCAAGGCTTGTGTGTTTTTCCTTGTGTCTTTCATCACAGGCACTCTGTTGAAGCACATACACACATAATTGTCCATGCGTCTCAACACACACACATGCACAGAAAAACACACATTTTCACTGCCACTCTGTAGGCTGCACATTCCAACACCCATGAATATCACAAACCAGCAGCCTCACTCTACTTGCCTCACATTTGTGACTATATTTGTGAGCCTGCTGATGACTGCAGTGAGACTTTGTGCAAATATCTGCGGCCGAGCTGGAGGAGCTGCTGGTGGAGAAACAGAGAGAGAGGGGGGCCATTGTTCCGCTCTGTGTGTTTGTGTCAGAAATGACGACTGGATGAATAGCTGAAGAACCTGATTGTGAATAGTTGTAATATGACTCGCTACTCTTACAAATTGTGTGCATGTGTATGAGACGCGATTTGCCCAACTAAAATAACTGGAGTGAGTTCAGGTTTTGTTAAAAGTGACAACTTACTTTTTTCCATCTTCACATTCAACCCTGCATTTGTGTACCTCTTTCCTCAAAGCAGCAATAGGGGGCAGGGTGCTGCAAGGCGGGGAGGGTAATTGTCTCAAGGTGTGGAGAGAGCTCAGCAGGCTGATACTGTGCAGCTCTGCTCCCTGTAGTTTGGCATTGTAGTGTGTGTGAGTGTGTGTGGCTCCTGGCCACAGTGGTGAAAGACAGGTAAAAGGTCCACTCACCGAGACCAAGAACAGGAAGGGGTTAACTAAAAAGAGTACTTGCAAGATGAATTAAAAAAAGTTAAGCAAAAAAACAACAGAGGGGGTGCATCCTATTATCTTCCAAATAATAATGAAAATATATAGAAACAAATGGATTCAGGGGGATTGGAAGATATGGAAGCAAACAAACAAACAACAGGAGAAAAACAAAGAAAATAGAGAGTTGTAACGCACACGAGCAGCGTGAAACATACAAAGCCACGGGCAGGACAGTTTGGGAAGTCTGTGTGTGTGGGGGGGGTAAAAGCCCCAGTGGGGGTTTCTTCCAGAGTTCATCCTTCTTGAACGAGGGAAGGAAAGGGAGGAGGGTGAGGCTGTTTTGTACACAAACTATCCAGACTCCGGGCCAGTGTGGTTGGACTGCAGCGGACTCGAACTCCGGCGCAACTGAAGTATCCAATAAGCTCCGGGGGGGGGGGGAGATAACTGAATCCATTTGAACTGAATTGAAGGAATTGGATCAGATATCCGCACATGCCAAGACCAAATGGAAAGAGAGAAAGAGAAGCTTTTAGAGACAAAATAACACTTCATGCTATGGAGAGACATGGAGAAGGAGAACTATTGAGAGAGAAGGAGACAGAATAACATGTGGACTGATATAGACTTCCACCTTAAAATTGCAGAAATATTAAATATTGATTAATGGTTGCAATTAGAGGAGTCCTTTAGGAGTTGGCCTTGCTGCAGACCCTTTAAAGATGTTTTTAAATCTATCTTTTGCATGAAGTCCTTGTCTTGTATTTAATCCATGTTAAGCACCCTTTCTTTCTCTTCTTCCTCTCTTCTTTAACGCTGTGTTATTTCAATTGGTACACTTTGGAATCAGGTCAAGAAACCATGTAATACATTGAAATTTGTCTGCTTACAAGCATGCAACACTCAACATATATAAAAATTAAGAAAGAATATTAAATTGAGTTTAAAGTTGGCAGTTATTTTAGGGAAATTCCTCTGTAAATCAACAGCTCAACATGACAAAATTCTAATAACTGACTCAGAACATTGCTTCTGTTTTCCGCGCAATTTGTGCCAAATTACACAGCTCCTTTTCCAGGAAACTTTCAAGAGATGATCAGGGAATAATGAACCCATAAAAAACATTATAATCCCTTTTTGTTCTTATTTAGTCATGGTTTCAGTGTATTTTATACACACTTATGGGAATAATAATAAATATAAATCCTACTAAAAACACACCATACTCTAGTAATAGGTTTTTGATTTTGGGAAAAATTGCATGAACTGTATGTGTGTGTGAGCAGGTAAATTCCTGTGGCCACTTAGACATCAGATAATCCATCTGTCCCTGTACAGAAACCACCGGAGACCGTCTATTTCCAGTGCAAGTTCAAGAAATTACTCACTAAATTGCCTCTCACTCAGCATCTTTCATTCTTCAGTCAGACTCTGTGAGGTGTGAGAGTTTTTTGCTAAAGGTGGCAGAGCTGTATTGTTTGTAAGAGAGTGGCTATAATATTCCAGTTGTGATGAAGCAGAAAGGGAATTAATGCAGAAAAAGAAATAAGAAAGAGTTGAGGGAGGAGGTAGGGGAGGTCAGGAGTGTTTGTTTTCTTTTGCAGAATATGAAATATAAAGAGGCAAGTTGGAAAACTTCAGGGAGAAAAGAGGGAGGGAAAGAAAGTTTGGCGAATCAGAAGGCAGGTACACACCCCCTCGGGCACTACATCCCTCCCACTTCTTCTTCCTGGACCCCACCTCCTTTTTCTGTGCAGAGAGAGCATGCAGATAGTTGGCTGAGTCTGTGGTGGAGTTTGAGAGGCCCAGAGAGCCGCAAGAGGGGAGCTGAGATCAGTTACAGCAGAAAAGGCAAAGCAGGCAGGCAAGCAAGTGATCTGGGAAAAAGAGAGGCTAAAAGTAGCCCGGGTTGTGGAGCAGAAGTAAGGCAAGAAAGAAGATATTTGGTCTGTCCAGAGTACTTAGTTTGGAAGAGACGGGACAGGCGGTCAGGGGGCAACCAGAGACAGACAGACAGAAAGACAGGGAACACCTGGACTGAGCAGGGGATTTAGTTACTTTCAGTCACTGGAAGCTTTTTCTCAGTTTTTACAGTCACTTTCTCCCCGCTTGGTTGCAGAACAAAAGAGGAGGGTTGTAGTTGTGATTGCTTGAGCATGTTTGACTGTATGGAGGCTCTGGGGCTGGCCCCGCGGCCCCTATTTGATGTGTCCGGACAAGGCTCCTGCATGCTCGCCAAGGCCACCCCTTACTTCTCCGGCCTGGACCCCTTTGCCTGGGCTGGGACTGGCAGCATTCAGTGTGAGTACACCATCCTGTCCATCAGACTGGAAAAGAGCAGCTGTGTGTGTGTGTGTGTGTGTGTGTGTTCTTATCAGAGTCCTGGTTTTGTTATCATAGAGCTCTCTCCACAGGAAGAGTCGGATTCCTTTCAATTCTATGTACCCATTCTCACCCCGCTTTTTGTTTGTTTATGTGCTCAGTGTGCTTTGTGAGAGTGAGTGACTGAGCTGGGAAGTGCATATTTATACATCATCGTGTTTGTTTTCTTTATGAATGACTTCACATGAGTGACAGCTCCTTTAAACAATCCGACCTGACCCAGGTCGATGTGTCCAGAAAACAACAACCGCCAACGTCCAAACAGAAACAGCACTGACAGATTGAAGGCAAATGAAAGCACACGGCTGTGATTTGGCCAACACACAGAGCCACAGTTAGTTAGAAAGAGGCAGTTTACAAAAGATACGAATGGCCGATAATCATTTCACCCTGTGAGCAATCTTTTACTTTACATAGATTTGAATTGTGTTGGCGATAAAGCGAATTTAAGGAAGTTACTTGCCTGAATGTATTTTAAGAGGAGGTGACTGTGGGAATGAGAAGTAGATTGTTAAAAGATAAATCATGAATCACTTGACACATAAGCACTCCCTGTTTCCTAACCCCATGAGCTAAACATTCTTTTGACATTTATTTAAAAGACCTGAGTGAACAAGGCACAGATTGCATCAGGTATTAAGATACAGTGTTTAAAAAACAAAAAAAGCCTAACCGCCACACAGGCACAGTCACACAGACACACACTGCAAAGATAAGAGAGGAAAATACGTTCTATCTGGTGAAATAATAAGCAGACCTTTTGTTTTTGTCATTCAGCTAGGAAAATCAAACATTGACTCACTCACTCTATAGAAACGAGTCTTGCTATTCATATGTGTTACAGAGTTGATTTTTATTTTCAAGATGACACTCCGTCCACTGTCAAACTCAAACGGTTTGGGATGTCCCAACTGAGCACCTTGAGTCTATTTATCTTCAGTAATTACTTAGATACCAGGGCATCAAGCACGGTCAAGTCCTCAGTGCTTGCTAATGATGATGGATGAGCAGTCAGGATGACAAACACCACAGCAGGGCCTGTTTCAACTCGCTAAGGAGCTTCACCAGATGCTCCTTAGCGACAGACAAATGTCCACAAATGTTCACTAATCATCTTGTCTTTGCATAAAAATCGGCTTAGTTTCTTTTTTTCTTTTAGTGGTGATGGTTGCAGGTCCAGTATCACCCAAGAAATGATGCAGCTTTTTTTTCCGCATTGACTGAAGGTACTAAAAAGAGGTTAAGTGACTGACCACAGGGGTTTGGGGGGATTCATCCCTCTCTGTTTGTGGGTAACCTGTCAAACATAAATGGACAGTAACATGCAGAGCTTTTTCCTTTATCAAACACACCAGCATAGTTTTTTTTGTTTTACTCAACCAATCTCTCAGAGATGAGGCTGGGCTGATGGACTGCAGATCCCACCGCTTATAACTACAGCTGAAACCATTCAGTCGATACATTGACAAAGACAAAAACAAATGTTTTTCTATTCTGATAATCGATTTATCATTTAAATCATCCAACTTTCATGTTCTCAGGCTGCAGCTTCTCCCATGGGATCATGTGCTGCTGCTCATATCATTGTAAAATGAATATATCTGAGGTTTTGGACTGTTGGCCAAACAAAGCAAGATGTTTGAAGAAGTCAAAATTGCAATTGCAAATTTTACAAACCAAAGGATTAATAATGAATTAATCAATGAAATAATTGATTGTTCTACTATTGCTAACTAATGTATTCCAAGGTTTCACATTTTTATGTGTAACCTCTTGAGTCTCAGCCATTTGCCACAGTAAAAATTTCAAGCAAAATAAATCAACTTCACCTCTTTAATTCTTTAATTTCCCACCTTGCGACAAAAACATTGCCACTTACCCTTTGACATTGATCACTTTGCTTATGGTCCTTGTCATCATTGTGACTTTTTTTATTATTAAAGGAGTTAGATAATGACAGCCCTCATTGAAGAGTGAATAATAGTTTGCTTTACTGTTGGACACTGCAGCGTATCTAAATACCTGAGAGCATTTTGGTCTGTTTATCTTTCTGACATGAGCTTTCCCTCCTTTGTGTGTGTGTGTGTGTGTGTGCGTGTGTGTGTGTGTTAGGGGTGGGTCATCTTTTCCAGTGTTTTTTTTTTTAATGTGAGGCAGTTCAGCACCTCTCGGCCTTCCTTTGTTTCAACGTCAGGAGGCATTAAAGGGAGCGGGGACATACTGAAGTCTGTCTGCTCTCTCTGTCAGTGCCTCTTGTGCAGTGGGGGGACAGTTTCTCCTCTATGTGACATTTGTTTTTCTCCTCTTTTGAAGAGCCCCTCTTTCTACACTTGATGTTTCCTTCCAGTAGTGTGTGTGTGTGTGTGTGTGTGTGTGTGTGTGTGTGTGTGTGTATTCTTTGCTCACACATGGCTCAGCTTACACGCCTTCTGTTGTGTAACTAAGAGCTTTTAATGATTCAATTACAATTACAAAGAGTCAATTAAGAGATTAGGCTGTGTGTAGGGGCATGAGTAGTTGAAAAAGATGAGGGGTGAAAGAAGAGTGGAGGGATGAAGTTGGATTTGGGATTAAACCCCCCTGTAACTCTTTGTATCTGGTGTTTCAGGCCTTGAGGGGAAGTGCTCTCCCCTTCATTCAGTGATAATCTACTTTTTCTTTGGCAGCCTCTTCTCCTTAAATGGGCTCTTCAAAGCTAAGTTTAACAATGCCCCTCGACCACCATATCATCACAGAGGAGGAGAACAGCTAACTACAATGATGCTGTTACTGTTAGTAGCTGATAAAGACAGAAGATATGCGCCTGATTAATGAGATAAAACATTTTAGGGGGTGTCTGTGTGTTGCATTTCTTGGACTAGAAGGGGCTTAGATAATTATTTTCTGTCTTTAATAAAAGTAGGCAAACTGTGTCTCTGGGTCATGAAACACTGGCTTTTACTTGCTGGGCTGTCACTTTCTCAGCGCTAGTAAAGTAGAAATTTCACTGTGAAGCCCAAACAACCCCGGTGAACCTGGAAATTCAAGTTCAGTCAGTATGTGATACGTTCAAGGAAAGCAGAGATTCTTATCAGCCTTGCAAGCACTACTACCTAATAGTTTCATAATAACCAGATGAAAGTAACTGCAGTAGTCATAATAAAAAACACAATATGAGGTTATATGTTATGATGTAGTATAATAATGATATTATTGTGTGTTCAGTAAAATGCTTTGTACTGAATAATTGTTGTTGCTATTGTTAATGTTGGATGGATCATAAGAAACTTTTCATTTTTCACCGTCAACCTTAGAAATGTACATACTGGCTTATGAAAGTGTATTTTGCATCAAACACACTGCTTTTTCACACTGACTTAACTTCAACAATTTAAAAAAACAGAAAAGAGCATTGCTACATTTAGATCAATTGTCATGTCAGTCTAAATTTCTTTTGGTGTTTCTGAGTCTGGTAGAGATGTCACAGAGCGAACAAAGGCCAAAGCGAAGCAGATTTCTGAGACACAAACAGCAAAGTGGCTAGGTGGTCAGAAAAAACTGAGGTTTCAGATTACAACCGACCCTGCAAATAAGAGAACTTGCACTGAAATGCAGTCTCACTATTTTCTGTCTGTCTTCCTGCTTTGTGGCCTCAATAACATGTCATTTCACTCTCTTTTGTAAACAAGATTATCAAACAAATATTTTGTCATGTCAGATTATTTAGTTGCTGTAAATCATGCACTGTAATCATTATCAATTATTACTCTAATCTGGTTATTCACAATAATGAGGTCACAGTTTGTGTGTTAACATACAGCATTAACCTTGGACTGTCAACACCTACAGAGTCATCTGTTGGGAATGCACATGACTAATACTATAGGTCATGAATAGTTGATGAGGAGATCAGATTGATCTGAATTTTCTAATCTAAACCCATGCCTCTCTCAAAGCATTTAAAAACTGTTCAGAGTAGCATGTTTTTACATATACACTACTCGCTACAAGAAGAGAGACAATGCCAGGCTGCTGATTGGTGAAACTTAAAACAACGTCTTGTGAGGTTCAGTGAGTCGTGTTCCAACTTGTCTCTGATTGTGGCGTCACGGCTTCCAGCCATGTCTCCACCACACTGCATTAACTTTGGCTAAGTTTGGCCTCTGATGATTCTGAATTATTAGTCCATCGTCTACTAAACTAAATCCACACTTGTTACAAACGTGCGGTTTAGCTTAACGAAACATCTTTTAAAAGAGTCACTTTTGAAATGAAAGCTTGTGAGCTTAAAGTTAAACCAGGTACAGACCGTAGCTTTTTTAAAAGAACATAACTGGATCATTATTAAACAAGAAGGGACATGGCTAAACTTTTCATCTCATTGACATACAGGATTAATAACTGTATTATTTTCATATGCTTTTATACTTTATCAAATCTTTCCACACTGCCTGCTGGTTATACCGAGGTTGGCAGCAAAAGATGTGTTTGACTCTATAATATCAAAAAAGGGGCAAAATTAGAGTGCTGGCTTTATTGGGTGTTATAAAAAAAAGAAAGGGTGCATTGTATCTATGATGATGAATGGGAGGGACAAACCCAGACTTAACAACCTGTCCCATAAATGCACCCCCACTCTACGCTCTGCAGACAAAGCTGAACTCCGTGAACATGAAAAAAGGGTTATTTTCCAGGTTTTGCTTTTTAAACCTTGCCTTGAATGACATGTTGTCAAGCTCAGCCGAGTGTGAATTTTGACTTCTTGCAGATGTATTGTATGCTCTTTTGGCCCACATTTCAACAGTGCATCTGAAATTGCAGGACAGGGTTCGCAACTATGTACGAGTTCGCAGGTTTGAGGATTTGTCCAGGATTTCTGTTTTTCTAAGTGAGCGTGTGCAAATGTGTGTGTGTGTGTGCCTTTGTGCAGTGTTGCTTGC